GATGTTATCTTGCAGAATGGACTCTGCTGGGATAATTTTATGATAAAACACTTTTTTCAAATGCCACTGGGTCCAGGCAGGCATTTACTAGCTACGGGGGCAGCAATCAGTTTCTTCAAAATTTACTGTTCTAAGCCCATTAGAGTTCCAGCGCAGCAAGGCTCTCGATGGAAATCGAAAGCGCCTGCGTTCGTCTGAGGATGCTGCATACAAATCTTTCGCGCTGAACAACTACCCTTTGGTGTTAGGATGCTTTAGAAACTGATCTATGTAAATTCACTCATAAGAATTACAGTTTATTTTTAATTGATGAATATGAATTAGAAAATGAAGACACAGGTTTAGCATTCAAAGAACAGCTAAGCATCCTCAGCCCGTAGCCCGGGTGACACAGGTGAAAATAAGGGGCTGGAAGCAGCTCCTTCATGGTGCAACATAGCCAAAAATAAGCACTCGTTGCCTTATTAGAGGCGAAGGCATTGCGTGCCTTATTCAGACATCAGCAGTTAAAAGCATCCCCTTCTTAGGCCTAGCGCGAGCCTCTGCATAAAGCAGACTAATTTTAGCCAAGTGTTGTAATGTGTGAGGGGGTTTTGTGTGTAAAACATTGGCAGCAGTATCCTGCTTCTATTCCAGCACGAAGCGCTCTCAGATATTGTCCTATACAATAATACTTAGCGACCATTGTCTACCCTGATGATTTACATGTAGTTTTCATTTTGTGAAAAAGAAAAAAAACCATAGGAAAGGTTTTACTTTTTTTTATGTTCCTGTGTTCCCCTTCACCTGAGAAAAAAACCCTTTGGCTAAACCATAAAAAAACCCCTTTGTGAAGTTGTGCTGTTGTTAAAGAAAAACTCTCGAAACGAAGTGATGCTGACCTCATTGCATTAGTGCTTTGCAGGGACTGCTAGTGCCCTAAAATACAGCATCAGCCCCAACACCTCTCCCGCTAAGTCAACCCAGCATAGGCCCTGCCTGCTTGGAAATGCATCAAAATCAAAAGTGACATTCTCTAGCAGACGCATTCTCGCTTTAAATTGGTGTTAAAATGTCTTTGCATGAGAACAGGTCCTCCAGTGCAATCCCTGCCCCTTCTGTCCATCCCTCCCAAATCCGAGCCTGTTGAGGATTACAGTGTGCAACCTCTGCCGACAGCAGATAAATAACTGACAGCATTTTAGCAGAGTTGCTAGGTTCTCTGCAGAGTAATTTGTTTTCTCCTTTCTCACCAAGTCTTTAATGTTTTGTTATAAACATCTATAGCAAGGCGCTGCTAATAGAAATGACTTACAGCCAAGGATACAGATAAAAGACTGCAATGAGTTTCTGAGCTGCTTTCTTGCAAGGGCTATGCCAATGAATTGCTCTTCCCTTTGTGCAGATGGGCTTTGCTGGAAATGTAGAGGAAAATTCTGGCGATTGACTTGCAGAGTTCCCACATCTGGTCAGAACTTTGTAGTGTCCCACAGGTTTTCATTACAAGTGATAAAATGTCCATTTGGTGAAGGATTAGAGAGATGGCAATGACCAGCGTGACACACTCCTCCTCTCCCCCAAAAACTAGCCCATCAGCATTTATACAAGTACATTATTATTATACATGCGCCGTACCTGGAAACATTCAAGGCCAAGTTGGATGGGACTTTGAGCAACCTGGTCTAGTGGAAGGTGTCCCTGCCCATGGCAGGGGGTTGGAAGCAGATGGTCTTTAAGGGCCCTTCTAAACCAAACCGTTCTATGTTTCTGTGATTCTGTGATTATGCCGTCTCACTGCCCCTTAGCAAGGCCATAGACACTTGCCAAAGCTATTTTTGCTGTAATTGGGGTACACTGGCGTGTTCCTCCTCTCTTTCTGCATGTGAGCATGAGGGTGGATGTGCGAAATTGTAAACCTGCTGCACCCCCCGCCACAGTCATGTCATCCAGATGATGAGTACGTAATTTTATTATGAGATTGGAGGCTCTTTACTTCTCTCTTTCATGGAGGAGATCTGCAGTGCTTCTTTTAACTTAAGGCATTCACCCAAGCCTTATGTTTTTTCTTTTTCCCTCTGTGCGCTGTATCATCTCAGCAGTTAAAGTCTTGATAAGAGAAAGTTGTCAGAAATCAATTCTTCTTCCCCTAATTGTACTGGTGTGATAAAAGATCACACGGGGAATCTGCGAGAATTTACACACACATGCAAACAAATAGCTGCTATCAATTCATGTGGAAGATCAGATAAGCCTGTTATCTCATGTCGTACGTACCAGTGTGTGACAAGAGTGTGGGGAATGACATGGGTCAGGAGATACGGGAGTCAGCAGTGGAAGTCATGATGAGGAAATTCAGAAGAAAAAAATCTAGATTGCAAAATTATCTCAAGATTTCTAGTCTAAGGGAAAAAGGTGTGTACAGAGATAGTGCTGTGCCCAGTTGCCTTTTTTAACAAGTGTCACAAAGAAATGAATTCATGGAGGAAAGGTTGTTTTGTTGTCACTGTTCTTAGTTCGCTGT